CACTGCGCGCCGCCATGACACCTACCGGGGCACTGCGCGCCGCCATGACACCTACCGAGGCTCGGAGGAGCCAAAAATCATCGCCCCCCGATTCGATTCTCCCCCAGGGAAATTTGTTCCTGGCTCCCCATCACATCCCACCGTGTATCCGCTTGTTTTCCCACAGGAATATCCCTTCCACGTGCTGCCTTAAGGCTGTAAGTGCAGCAGGTCCATGTGCTTCTACAGGGGGGAGATGGGGATGGTCAGGGTCAGGGGGGATCCCTGAGGTGCCCCAGTCTAGGGTCACTGGTGCCTTTTGGGGGTCTGCAGAGGGGTTGGTGCTGCCTGGGGGTGTTGATGCCCAGGGTTCACCCTGTGAGGTGGCCACGATGGATGTCCCAGCACTGGCAGTGCCATCAGGGTCCCCAGGATGCTGCTGAGACCCACCAGGCTGACCCTCAATGTGTACTCAAAGACTATTTGTAGCCCTCTGAGAAGCTCCTCTTTGGACCCTGGAACACCTCATCAACCTCTTGGTCCTGGGGGGCAGCAGAAGGACTGGAGGGGATGTCACTGCTCCTCATCCTCAGAGAGTTTGTCACTCCCAAGGACATCCTGGTGGGAGCAGAACCTCTTGCTCAGAGATGTGGGGCAGATGGAAGAACTCTGGCTGTGAACTGGAGGGCAAAGCTTCCTCCTGCTAACTAACAGATGTTCTGCCAGGACTGGTGTTGGGGGCATGAAGGCAAAAAACCCATCAGCTTCTAAAAACAACCTTTATTTCACTTCCCATCACAGCTGAGGATCCCTGCTCCTCCACACATCCCATCCCAACACTTCCTCTTGCCTCCATGCCTTGGGAAAGGGCCTTGTTGGCCCTATCTGTAGGAATTGGCCTTGTGTTTTGGCAGGAAGGTGAAGGTGGGAGGGACAGGGCCCAGGAGCATCTCACTGCAAGAAAGAATCAAACACAGAATCAATCAAGGGACCTTAAATCTAGCCCAGGTTGCTCCAAGCCCCATCCAACCTGGCCTGGAACACTTCCAGAGAAGAAAGCCAAGGACAAAGCCAAAGCCAAGGAGAGGTTTGTGTTCAATCCCCACCTGTCCCACAACCCTGTGACTCTGCCATGCTAATCTATGGCAATTTCAATGACATTTGATGCTTAATTACCTTATTTTGATCCAATCATCCACATTTTGGCTGGCCATGAGTGTCTCCAGGTAGTCTCTGCCCAAGTAGTATGGAGGTCTCTCATTAATCCTCTGAGGTAGATGTTCCAATAAGCCAACTGGGATGTACCTGGAATGAAAAGTCACAGCTCTGAGTGCTGAGGTTTAATTAAACACTCCTTGAAGCTCCTCTTGGCTGGGCAGAGTTACCTGCAGAGGAATGAGAGCCATTCTAGCAGGAACTTCCTAGTCTTCTCCACTCCCTGAGTGTCTGAGCCCCAGTGCTCCAGGCCATAGTTGGTGAAGTCTTTGAGGATGTCAAACCTCTCACTGGAGGAGATATCCCAATGTCTCTGCTCCTTGATTTCAGTGAAGAGCCATGGCTTGATGAGAGCTCCTCTACAGCCAAAACAAATGGGCATTGTTATTCCCATCGCTGATGCTCCTGGAGAGGCCAATCCTGAAGACCCAAATTTTAGAGACTTTCCAGCCCTTTTCCACCAGCCAATTCCACTTTAAATCTTGTCTCCCAATCCAACAAGAAGCTGCTGGAAGTTCCCACTGATACAAATTGATTTTATCCATTTGCAGAGTAGTTTCATCAAGAGGAAACTTCTCCTGTTTGGGATTTGTTTAGGGATTATTTAATTCCTCTTGGAGCAATAAGGGAAACACTTGCCTGGCAATCATGATCCCAGAAACTCCCATTTCCATGGCTCGATTTGCATCTTCATAAGACAAAATATCCCCATTTCCTGCCAGGAAGGGAAGGAGAAGTCAAAGGTCAAAGTGATCCATGAGGACAAGTCAAAATGAGCTAATCCAGGCATGGGATAAAATTCCAGATGAACACAAGGTCCAAGAACCAGATTGTCCAGAGAGACTCTGGGACTCCTGGTTAAGAGATTTCTGAGGGATGTTTCATAGTATGTTAAGGGGTTGGAATGGACCTTGGACATGTTCCCTCACAAGGAAAAGAGTCTTCTCCTCACTTCTCTTCCACTCCCAGCTCCTACCCCGAGGATTTAGGGATTGTCTGTGCCACAGGGGCACAACCCAAGTGGGTTGTATCCCACCTATCCCTTCTCATCACACCTCTTCCCAAGCACAGGCAGAGCTGGTGGTAACTCCCTCCCCACTGCAGATGCTCCAACCTTTCCCCTAAGCTAAACATCCTTGGAAACCATTTTTTCCCCTTTTTTCCCAGGGATTTAAAATCAAACAGGTGGGAATTGATGCCAAGTGCCAGGAGAAGGGGGAAGACACTTACCAAAGAGAGGCATGGGGGTGGCTATCCTGGCACACTCGGCGATGTAGTCCCAGTCTGCGCTCCGAGTGTATCGCTGCTCCCGCGAGCGGCCGTGGAGCTGGGGAGAGATCCCAGAGAAATCACTGCACCATGCAGGGAAGGAGGGCAGGAATGTGCTCCAGCACAGGGAGGCACACCAGGATGGGCTAAGGGGTCTACCTCTGCATTTACAGCCCAGTAGGTGCTGAGAGGGCTGAGCAAGGAGCAAGGAGAGATGGATAAGGGATCCCTTGCGATGCACCTCTGGATGTACAGCCCAGTAGGTGCTGAGAGGGCTGAGCAAGGAGCAAGGAGAGATGGATAAGGGATCCCTTGCGATGCACCTCTGGATGTACAGCCCAGTAGGTGCTGAGAGGGCTGAGCAAGGAGCAAGGAGAGATGGATAAGGGATCCCTTGCGATGCACCTCTGGATGTACAGCCCAGTAGGTGCTGAGAGGGCTGAACAAAGAGCAAGGAGAGATGGATAAGGGTTCTCTTGGGATGTACCTCTGGATGTGCAGCACAAGAGCTCCTAACTGAGCTGAAGAAAGGGTGAGCAGAGTTGGGAAGGGATGTCTTGGGATGTACCTCTGGATATACAGCCCAGTAGGTGCTGAGAGGGCTGAGGAAGGAGCAAGGAGAGCTAGGTGAGGGATCTCTTGGGATGTACCTCTGGATGTACAGCCACAGGAGCTCCTAACAGGGCTGAGGAAGGAGTGAGAAGAGCTGGGTGAGGGATCCCTTGGGATCTACCTCTGGATGTGCAGCCCAAGAGCTCCATAAAGCTGTGGCTGCTCCATCCTTGGGAGTGTTCCAGGCCAGGTTGGATGGGGCTTGGAGCACCCTGGGCTAGTGGAAGGTGTCCCTGTCCATGGCAGGAATGGGACTGGATGAGCTTTAAGGTCCTTCCCTTCCAACCCCTTCTTGGACTGTTTGAGGAAAACCTCTCTGCACCTGAATTTTCCTCTTTTATTAGCAGAGGACACTAAAAGGCAACACAAAGCTGCTCAAAGGGGTGTGGAAGAGCTGCTGAGCTGTGAGGAAGGGGCAGGACATTTCCTCCTTGTCCCCAGGCTGCAGAGCTCTCCAGTCAACAACCTCATGGATCCCATACCGTGACCATGGAGGACTGTTTGAGGAAAACCTCTCTGCACCTGAATTTTCCTCTTTTATTAGCAGAGGACACTAAAAGGCAACACAAAGCTGCTCAAAGGGGTGTGGAAGAGCTGCTGAGCTGTGAGGAAGGGGCAGGACATTTCCTCCTTGTCCCCAGGCTGCAGAGCTCTCCAGTCAACAACCTCATGGATCCCATACCGTGACCATGGATGCTCCCCACTCCCTGATCCTGGGGATGATCTTGTGAGCCACATTGATCTTCTCTTGCACTCCAGTCCTTATCTTCACTGTCAGAGGGACATCTAGCACCTGTAGAAGTGGGAGAGTGAGGCCAGGGCGAGGCAAGAGTTGCCTCCAGCTGCTCAGGGGCTCCAACTCACCGAGTTCATGCCACGGACAATCTGTTCAAACTTGTTGGAACGAGTCATCAGAGCACAACCTCCTCCCTGAGGGATGAAACATGCCACAGTCAAGATTTTCCTCTTCCTTGCACAGTGAAGAGTCCTTGGAGCTGCTCAGGGAATGCTCAGGTAAGACTTGGAGCATCTCAAGGCTTGGACAAAGTGGATTCTTCAACCAACAAACCCATCATGGCCATTTTCCCAAATCCCACAGCCACTCCCTGTTCCCTGAGTAGCTTGTTTGCCTTCTTGCTGAGGTTTGGTGCCCATAAATGAACTGGGAGCTCTGGGTCAAAAGGGCAGGAGATCAGGCAGCAGAGGATGAGGGAAAAGAAAAGAATCCATGGAAGGAAGCAAAACACACCACAGAACTTCTCACCTTCTTGTAGACCAGATCAATGGGACACTCAACATTGATGTCTACAAAATCCACATCAATGATCCTGTTGAGGAGCACTGAGGTGTCCATAGAGGAACTGGGAGCTCTGGATCAGGCTAACAGCAGCAAGGGATGAGGGAAAAGACAAGGATCCATGCAAGGAAGCAAAACACACTGAAGAACCTCTCACCTTCTTGTAGACCAAGTCAATGGGACACCCAACGTTGATGTCTACAAAATCCACATCAATTGTCCTGTTGAGGAGCTCTGCACACTTGGTCATGGTGTCTGGGAAGGCTCCTTCCAACTATCAAAGAAAGACAAACTTCCATGAGTTCCAGGAGCAGCTTTTCCCCTGAGAACTGAGGTTTTTGGTTATCAAGGTGACAGAACTCACCTGCACCCCAAAAATGTCCTCGGTGTGGTGGCGTTTGAGCAGGGCCCACTCTGAGGACTGGCCTTGGAGCAGGTTGGTGCACACAGCCATCTCCCCACAGGTGACATCTGCCCCGAAGCGCTTGCACACCCGTCGGAACGGAAGGTTCCCACACTGCCAGAGACAGCAGAGATATTTTTCTCAGGAGGTTTGATCTCTTCCAAAATGTGGCAACAACAAGTTTTGACAGAAGGACAAAGTTATCCACCTACCGTGGTCAGTGGAGCCAAGTAGAGCTTGCCTTGGATGTCCAACTGGAAAAGAAGGGTGGAGGAGAGTGTTAGCAGAGCTGGACCAGCAGTGGTTGAGATCATGGAAAGGTTTGGGTTGGAAAGGAACTTAAGGAACATCTCATTCCATCCTCTGCCATGGGCTGGAACACCTTCCACTAGTCCAGGTTGCTCCAAGCCCTGTCCAACCTGGAACACTCCCAGGGATGGAGCAGCCACAGCTGCTCTGGACAACCTGTGTCAGTGTCTCACCATCCTCACAAGGAGGAATTTCTTCTGTAAGATATTCCAGTTGTCCCTAAGGTGTCTCTAAGGTGTCTAAGAGGTTTCTAAGATGCCTAAGGTGACTCTAAGGTGTTTCTAAGGAGCCTAAGGTGTCTCTAACTCAGGTGTCTCTAAGATATCTCTAAGTTCTCTCCAAGGTGACTACAGAGTGTCTCTAAGGTGACTCTAGGGTGACTCTATGGTGTCCCTAAAGTATCTCTAAGGTGCCTCTAAGATGTCTCTAAGGTGACTCTAAGGTGTTTCTTTCCATCTTCCCACACATCATCTCCACCCCAAGACCAGCACACAAGGGTTGACCACCAGACTCTTACCTTCTTCTTCTCACATGGCCTCAGCTTCGTGACATCTTCATCTGTCAGAGGACCAATGGTTGGGATGGAGGCAACCTCCTTGTCCCCTTGGGAGCTGGGACTCTGCAAGGCCTCTGGTTTGGGATCTTCTCCCTTCTCCAGCAGCTCAGAGCTGTCTCCCACACCCTCCTGTGCTGCTGTGCAGTTGGACACCTCCTGCTCCTTCACGGCTTTGCCTCCCTTCCCACCACCACCACTGGCCTTGAGGCCACGGAGATACTCCTCAGCCTTTTGGAAGTTGAACTTCTTCTTGCGCAGCTGGTGCTGGAGATCCTTGGAGAGGTTGTTCCTCACCAGCACCTTCCCTTCCCACTGCTTGGCCAGAGCTGTGTTGATGAGGTTCTGGAAGTCATGGCCCAGGTGGGCCTGGGCGAAGCGACAGGTGACCCCATAGATGCACCTGCCGAAGGTGTCGAAGAGCACACAGTGGTGTCCCAGGTCTGATGGTTTCCCTGCCATGTAGGTGTTGATGTCGTGGAGGAAACGACACCGTGGGCCCAAGAAACACTTCTCTGCACAGCCCTGAGGACAACAACGAGGTCAAAGCCTTGGCTTGGGTGTGGCTCTAGCTGCATGCACAGTCCAGGTGAGTCTGGGCCTGCCCCAACCCACAACTGCTCTCTGAGTTCCTCAGGTGATCATAGAATCATTGAAGTTGGAGGAGACCTCTGAGATCATTGAGTCCAACCCTTAACCTGTCACTGCTGTGAACACTAAACCCTAAACCAGAGAAACATTGAGGTTGGGGAAGATGGATTTTTATGGAATCACAGACTAGTTTGGGTTGGAAGGACCTTAAAGCCCAACCAGTCCCACCCTTGCCATGGGGTAGGGACACCTTCCACCAGCCCAGGTTACTCCAAGCCCCATCCAACCTGGCCTGGAACACTCCCAGGGATGGAGCAGCCACAGCTGCTCTGGGAAATCTGTGCCAGTGCCTCACAGGAGGAATTCCTTCCCAATATCCCCCCCAGCCCAGCATGGAGCAGGGCCCCAGGCCCTACCTGTGTGACAGAGGGGCAGAGCCTGCTCTGCTCATAGTGGTTGGGTTTCATGCAGGGACGACTCTTGTTCTGCCCTCGCGCTCGTTTTCGCCCCACATGCTCCTTCTCCTCCACTCCAGCACCCTCTGGGCTCTCTCCATCCTGGCTGAGCTCCTCAGCCTTCACCTTTTTGGCTGGGGGTTCACTCTGGCAGCTGCTGACCTCCTCCTCCTCCTCCTTCTTCTCTTTGCCCTCCTCCTCCTCACCCTCAGTGCCCACCTGGCTGCCAGGCTCAGCCCCAGCCTGCAGGTAGGCATGGAACTGCTCCTTGGAGGTGAGGAACCTGTGGAGACACAGCACCCAGGTCACCCCAGGGATAGTGGGGAGCAGGGGGTGGGTGTCCAGGGTTGGGCATGTACTGGGAGGGTTATGGATATACTGGGAGGGTTATGGAAGGACTGGGCATGTACTGAGAGGGTTATAGAAGGGCTGGGCATGTACTGGGAGAGTTATGGACGTACTGGGAGGGTTATGGAGGGGCTGGGCATGTACTGGGAGAGTTATGGACGTACTGGGAGGGTTATGGAGGGGCTGGGCATGTACTGGGAGAGTTATGGACAGGCTGGGCATGTACTGGGAGGGTTATGGAAAGGCTGGGCATGTACTGGGAGACTGGGAGGTGGGGGTTGGATGTGTACTGGGAGGGTTATGGATGTACTGGAGGGTTGTGGAGGGGCTGGGCATGTACTGGGAGGGTTATGGACAGGCTGGGCATGTACTGGGAGTGTTATGGATGTACTGGGAGGGTTATGGAGGGGCTGGGCATGTACTGGGAGAGTTATGGACAGGCTGGGCATGTACTGGGAGGGTTATGGAAAGGCTGGGCATGTACTGGGAGGGTTATGGTAAGGCTGGGCATGTACTGGGAGGGTTATTGGGGGTTGGATGTGTACTGGGAGGGTTATGGATGTACTGGAGGGTTGTGGAGGGGCTGGGCATGTACTGGGAGGGTTATGGACAGGCTGGGCATGTACTGGGAGTGTTATGGATGTACTGGGAGGGTTATGGAGGGGCTGGGCATGTACTGGGAGAGTTATGGACAGGCTGGGCATGTACTGGGAGGAGAGAGTTATGGAGGAAACACGGACATGGCAGGAGAGTTTGGGAAGGAGTCGGGAAGGTACTCGGGGGGTTACAGAGGGTCAGGCAGGTACTGGAGAGGTTCTAGGGGGATCGGGCACGTGCCGGGGGTG